AATAATTTAAAAATGGAAATTTAAACTTTTATTTAAAATGGGTTGAGTAATTTATTAGGGTAGTGATAATCGTTTTTGGGGTGTTTCTACAGAATTTTTGGCGACAGAAACACCAAGGTATACTGAAAAATGTATATGAGGGGTGGGCAAAGCCAAAGAGGTGTAACATCAGAACCTCATTCAAACTGGAATTCAACCTTGTGTTTGTTTTAAATTGAAAGGCTAAGGCAGATATATGTGTACATCCATTTCCTCTTATTTTATTGTTTTCCCTCTTTTTCTTAATACAAACTATGATGACAGTTACAAAATAATCAGAGGTACACAAATTTAAGTGTGCTGTCAAGTGGATAAAGAACTCCCCTATCCGGCGAGCTAAGCCGCAGCCTACCAACATGTACCTACTCCACTTAACCCAGGCAGTCACAGTATTTTTCATTTTTTTTCTTTTGTTGAAAGCAAAAACTAAACATTCTGGAAATTATAGTTATGCCATGACAATACAGCTGTTAAGACAAAACTCAGTACAGATTGGAACTTTTATAGAGAACAGTTCAATAGGTACAAGAGTTTGATCAAGAAGTCTAAACGTTAGTCTTGTGTCTGATATAGCGAGTCAATCGAAGGAGTCAACGAAGCGGCCAGATTTCGCAGAGTACTATCTAAAGATCCAAAATTTATAGGTAGTAAGACTCTTTATCTTCTATCGTCCACCCACTTCCCTGGTTGTTAGGACCATAATAAGGATGTGGAGTCTGCGCATCAGCATATGGTTCGAACGAGGGAGGAGGAGTAGCTGATAGAAAACACTATAAGCTACCCAAAACTGGTAGGGCCGATAAATAGTTTTTAATCCTATAAATCTCCAGGCCCAGATGATATAATACCGGCCATGCTGCAACACGCAGATGAACGAGTATTAGCCTCTCTGCAAGACATTTTTAGGCTATCGTACATACCTAGTCTATGGAAAGAGGTGACCTTCATCCCGAACGCTGGGAAGCCAAGTCATACTCTACCAAAGAATTATAGACCGATTAGCCTCTCTTTCTTTCTACTCAAGACTTTAGAAAGGTTAATAGACTCAGAAATTAGAAATACTATTGATCTAAGCAAAATTAGCAACTCCCAGCATGCCTGGCTACACCTTGGCAGCGGTGTACACCCCACTAGGACAGAATTGGTGCTCTTCACTAGGAAACATAAGATTCATTGTTTCCGTTTGCTATCTTTGGGAGGAATGAGCCTATCCCTTTCTGACGAAGCAAAATGTCTTGGAACAATCCCTCATCGCAGATTAACGTGGAATAGGAATGTTGAGGAACTCTACTATTGCAAGAACTCCATAGGAAAGAGCTGGGGACTAAGATCAGAGATCATACACTGGCTGTATGTGACGGTCGTTCTCCCCCTTCTTACATATGGTTGCTCGTATGGTGGCAGGGGGTCAACAAAAAGATACTGCTGACAAAATTAAATTCAGTACAGCGATCGGCTTCGATCCTGACTACCGGAGCCCTAAAAAGTACACCACAGGTAGCCATGAATGCGATCTTGAATCTCCAACCACTGGATATTCTGATAAAATTACAGGCTGCCAGATGTGCCCTGAGGCTCCAAGAAACGGATGCCTGGAAATCGCTGAACTATGGTCACGCTAGTATCCTCAACTTAATGCCTGGTTGTGATTTCTTGAGGAGAAATACTCACATTAGTGACTATGTTCCCTCTCATAGAGTCTTTAATGACATCAGAGTAGATTTTCCTAGAAGGGAATCCTGGGCTAGTGGCTCCTAACCTCTGCCGGGTCTGTCATTTTTCACAGACGGGTCAAAGATGGAGGAAGGAACTGGTGCAGGCGTCAAAGACATAAAAACCGTAAAGACTCGACAAAATGCATCTTGACAAAATAATTTATAAAAAAATATCCAGGGGGAATCAGGTATAACAGAGGCATGTTAACAATAAAAACGCCAATACGCGATAATGTGTTTATAAAATGTGAATAAAATCAGAGATCTGTACTCAAAACATATTTTTTTATTTAATAAGCTTAAGATATAGCATTAAAAATGTTTAATATTGTTCTCTCTGTTGTTACGTATCAATTGTCCTATTTTTATACTTTTATGTCTTTGCAGGCGTTTACTGTAGGGAGTTAGAAATATACAACTCATCTTTGTAGCGTTTTTCAAGCTGAAATTCTTGCAATCACGAAAGCGACCGAAATAGTCCAAACACTTACTGCCGATAATACGGGACCGATGCCTATATATATTGATAGTCAGGCGGCCCTCAAGGCATTGAAGTCGTGCACTATACACTCAAAAGCAGTTCTTGGTTGCAAGTCCGCTCAGCATGATATACAACGGATTGTTAATTTATGTTGGGTTCCAGGACATAGCAACATAGAAGGAAACGAGAGTGGGCTCACAATCGTCCAATAGGCTATTTCATTGACAAAATCCGCTTGTTCTACGGCGAGGTAGTCGGTAACAGATGGTTAAGAGAACCTGGTTGCAAAATCTCAAAAGTTATCTGGCCTGAATTCTCTCGCCGAAGAATTTTTTCGTTGTTGTCACATAATAAAGAGCTAAGCAAAATGCTCGCGTTGAGCCATCCGTTGCATTATGTGTTATCGAAAATACAGCAACCACAAGGAAACGATAACACAAACGCTCGAAGTTGTTGTGCGCTGAGCTTCGGAGTTAAATATATTTTAACATTTTGCGTGCGTTAAGGGCTAAGCAGAATGCTCGCGTTGAGCCATCCGTCGCGTTATATGTTATCGAAAATACAACAACCACAAAGAAACGATAATACAAACGCATATCGTTTCCTTGTGGTTGTTGTATTTTCGATAACATATAACGCGACGGATGGCTCAACGCGAGCATTCTGCTTAGCCCTTTAACGCGATAACAAAAAACGCTCAACGCGAACATTCTGTTTAGCCCTTAAGAGAGATCAAAATCATTGTGGGGATCATAACAGTTCACTTCAGGATTAGATCTCTCACTTCGAAATGAAACTCCAGCGGAGAGGATTGCTGCCGTCTATGTGAGGACGAAGAAGAGCTAGAAACAATTGAACATATCCTCTATAGATGTCCATCGCTTTTCCTCAAAGATCAAAAGTCGACTTCGACTTTTTGACTTTTCAATACAAAAACCCGATTAATCGATTAGTCGAAAGTCGATCTACTTATCCCTAATCATAATTTGCCTAAACCTCATTCGTAAACAGCACGGTTTCCATTTAGTCTCTATCCCACCTCATTCGTAAACTTTCGGTTATACCATTTTGAGTTCATCTTTATCGGCCATTTTGTCTTCTCCTCCCATTCGTTCGTGGAACGTTTTTCAATTTTTTCAGTCGTCGTTTTTATTTTAGCTCCGTTCCAAAACCTAAAAGAATCTACTAATTTTACAAAACTTTTTACTCGAAAACCGTCCCTGAACCCATAAAACTGGTAAAGCATTGAATCAAATTTAAGAGAGCACAAAAAAATGGCTTTCTCTTTGTAAACATTTTGTTATGTTGATTTTGAAGTATTGCCATCTAATTTTGGCATATTTACTAGATTTGCGTTCCCGAACTTTTCAAATTATTTTGTACTCTGAGACTTGAAATGTTTCCCTTTTACTAGCTTTACTATTAAACAAGTGAAAAAGCGTTAAGTTCGGCCGGGCCGAACTTTGGATACCCTCCACCACAGGTATACTGACAGGTATTTGAAATGAAAAAGTGGACCGATATTTATAATTTTAAATAGCGATATTTGGTACCCAATATGAACCCACTGTACCAAATTTCAGCGAATTCGGTTGAAAATCGCGCTTAAGAACCTCAAAATACCGAAAATTTGGGGTGCCTTTATATGGGGGCTACCAGAAAAAGTGGGCCGATATTTATAATTTTTAGTAGAGATATTTGGTACGCAATATGAACCCAATGTACAAAATTGCAGCGAATTCGGTTGAGAAGCGCGCTCAAGAACCCCAAAATACCGAAATTGGGGGGTACCCTTATATGGGGGATATCCGAAAAAATTTACCTATATTTAAATTGAAAAAAAATAAAAATACCAAAAAATACTGAAAATTAGGAGGTACCGTTATATGGGGGCTACAAGAAAAAGTGGACCTATATTTATAATTTTTTGTGGATACATTTACTACAAATTCGCTTGAAAAACGCCCTCAAGAACCCCAAAATACCGAAAATTGGGGGGTACCCTTATATGGGAGCTATGCCTAAACGTGGACCGATATATCCCATCTTCGAACTTGACCTGCCTGCAGACAAAAGACAACCCTATGCAAAATTTCAACACCCTATCTCAATTCCTTCAGAAGATAGCGTGATTACAACAGACGGACGGACATGGCTAGATCGTCTTAGAATTTTACCCTGATCAAGAATATATATACTTTATAGGGTCGGAAATGAATATTTCGATGAGTTACAAACGGAATGACAAAATTAATATACCCTCCATACTATGGTGGAGGGTATAAAAAGTACTGGAACAGACCATTTGTTGGCGAAGGTTTGCGTACGACGTCGCTTGAGTCTTGGCAGAACGACGATTAACAAGCGAATTTTATGAAGGCTGGAGTCTGGGAGGCTTCCCACTGTTCTTTTGAATCTCTCTCTCTCTCTCTCTTATTATTTTTTTTTTTTCGTTTTTCCATATATAGTTCCTTTGCTCCATATAGTTCCTTTGCTCTTTATAGTTCCTATGCTCCAAATAGTTCCTTTGCTCCATACAGTTCCTTTGCTTTAAATAGTTCAAAAAAGGAACTGGATCAGAGAAAGGAATTATATTAATTAAAGAACTGGAACTAGTTCCGTTCGTTCCTTTCTCGGAATAGTTCCAATGAACTAGTTCGTTCCGGAACTACCCAACTCTAGCATTTGCCCTAGGAAGGTGGTGTCATTTGGTTGCGGGCGGTGTCCGATTTTCTCGTTATTTCGTTAATTAAAAAACTTAAAATATGAAGTTTGCTTTGAGCTATGTTTTGATGCTGGCATGGATTGCTTATTTAATTTCATCTGGAGTGTATTTGTTCTCTCGTGGTTTTCTACTATCGCGAGTCTCAAAGACGGACGTCAGTAGCTGCCGGCATTTGTCAACAGATCCAAATGACGTAAGTATTATTTGTTTACATTAATTCTTTCCAAGAGCTCCCAACTAAGAACTATACTATGTTGATTTCAGGAATATTTTTTAACGGAAGCCGTTGTCGATGAAATTTTCAAAGATGTGAATGCATCATCAAATTTATGTCTTCCACAAAAGTCAAAAGTGATTATTTTGTTAATTGATGCCCTTAAATACGACTTCGGAGTATACAAGGAGAATGTAACAGAACCATTACCATATGAGAATAAATTGGGCGTGTTGAACGATTTAATTAATAATGAGCCGCATCACGCTCGTCTTATGCGCTTTAAAGCTGATCCGCCTACTACAACATTGCAACGTTTGAAGGGGTTGACCACCGGCAGTTTACCAACATTTGTTGACATTGGGTCGAACTTTGCCTCTCCGGAAATTAATGAGGACAACATCATCGATCAGATGGTGAAGAGTCACTTGCCAATTGTTTTCATGGGCGATAGCACGTGGACAGATTTATATCCGAATCGTTTCAAACGCTCTTATTCCTATCCAAGTTTTGATATATTCGATTTGGACACAATTGATCGCAAAATTGAGAAGCATTTACCAAAGGAATTGCAAAAGGAAGATTGGCAGGTGTTGATTGCACATTTTTTGGGCGTAGACCATTGCGGACACAAACATGGACCCCTTCACGAGGAAATGTCTCGTAAACTTAAAGAAATGAATGACATTATAAGGTATGTTTTCGTTTTTGTTTAATTTAATGGAATTATAAAACATGTTTGCTTTCTTAGAAACGTTGTATCCCAGATGAGCGATGATACAACCCTACTTGTGATGGGTGATCACGGCATGACTATATCTGGCGATCATGGTGGAGATTCTAATGATGAAACCAATGCCCTTCTTTTTGCATATACAAAGAAGACTAATTTTTTAAATGGTGAATACGGTTCTGATACTGATGTTATGCAGCAGGTAATCTCGACTAAGATAAGATAAGTGACAAGTATTACTGCGCCATAGATATGTTTTGAGATATGTATTTCATAGTTGTCATTGTGCCACAATATCATGTTTTGCTCTAAATCGTTATCTGTTTTAAATTCAGTTTTATTCTGTTTAACGTTTCTCACAGGACGCTGAATTAAGAAAATATGAGTAATTAATTAAATTTTATATGTATGCTAGTTACATTTTTCCCCTGATCGTACAACGCTCATTTTTATGGGTAATGCCTATTTGGGTACACAAACTAATTTCAAAAAATATTTATAATTGAGTTATAAATTTTTGATGTTATATATCCACATTCACGTGGAATTTTTAAAGTATATTTAGTCTATGTGAATACCAGGACAAGCCATGACATACGGTGTAAATCTCAATAAGATCTATTCAGCGGTTTTTGAGTCTATTGTGAACACACACAGCGTATTTTGCTGCTTTTTACATGGGTATTTCCGGAAAAAGGTCAATCAAAGCGGCAGAGTTTTGTTGTCTTAATTATGCTTAGATAAGCAAAGATACGGAAAAACGTATAAAAAAAAAATTTGTCAATGTTTCTTCTTGTTATTAACATAAATACTAATATAAATGCAGATACTGAAAAAATGTCGCGTAAGACCAAATTTAAAAGGGCAATAATAATGCTTGATATTTCTTATTTATGTCAAAAATCTTTATTATTATTTATGTCAATATCGCGTGTATGACCGCACGTTTGTGGCATTTATCCCAAAAGATAAAAATTGGAGGCTCTCAATTGTTTTTTAACACTGAAATGTACTACAAAAAAAGTAAGAAGTTGAAAAACAGTTTAGTCTTGAGGTGTAAAGATTAATAAACTCACATACCGTGACCATGACCATGGCGATAGACCATATTATAGACCCGATGCGGCTTCCTTATATATCCACTTCTGTTGTTGCTGCTGTGAATGCCAGAACAGCCCGATAGGTTTCCTTTTTTCATGAAAATATAAAATCCTTAATACATCCATTTTATACCACATTCCGTTTGACCTGATTCCTGCCTCTTCAGAACTCCTATCATTTGTATTACCAGTATTTCTGATATGTTGAGCTAATATATTTTTTGCTAGTATCTCTCTGGCTTTCCGTTTCATTGCAACTTCGATAATGTAGCTCATCTCGAAACAAAAATAAATAAAAACATTACTTGAGTGGTAAAAAGGCATAAAGTTTGAAACTGAATATTTTTTATTGTTGTTTTAGATTGATCTTGTACCAACACTCGCAACAATACTGGGCATACCAATACCGTATTCAAATTTGGGTTTAATAAATTTTAATATTGTTCCTGATGTCGCTGTACCCCACATGACCAAATTGCAGAGTCTGATTTTACACGTATGGCAAAATGCGCAGCAAATCTACACTTACTTCTACAATTATGCCGTTGAAAATAAACGCAGTTTTAACGTGGAAGAAATGGATCGCATGGACACCGAATTTATACTGCTGACACATCGCGTCAAATCAATATACAATGAAGCTGCTTTTAAATCATTTATTGGAGATCTAAATGTGCATCTTAGACAAATTCTCAGTACCTGCCGCGAGTTGTGGGTCAAATTCGATGCAACACAAATGTCTCAAGGGCTTTTAGTGACATTCTTTTCGGTGTTCTTCTCTTTCATACTGATAACCAATACGCCTGCAGGAAAATTATCGAATATTTTCACAGCCAAAGAGTTGGGTTACACGTATTTGTTAAATATTGCCGCTGGTGTTTTTGGATATCGTTACTATAAGAATTTTTCCTTCAAAACTGAGGAACACGCTATAATATTCTTCACGAATGTGATAAGTTCGTTGATTCTTGTATTTCATATGGTCCAGAATTGGTATATCATTGCCCTCAGTTGGTCTAAAGTAAAAAGATTTGTGAATATGCCGACGCGCGCGGTCCTAATCATACTGATGTCAATCTGCTATTCAAATAGTTTTGTCGTCAATGAGGGCCACGTCCTATCCTACTTGCTTGTATGTGTGATTATACTGATGGCATACGAATTGCTGCAAAAGAGTATACGTGTTGACTTCAAAACAAAATTCAAGCCACATCAATTTTTAAAGTCAACTGCCTTTAAGCTGCTTTTGGCCAGCATTTTGGCAGTGTCGTTAATACGGTTTGCGACCACATTCTTCCGATGTCGAGAAGAACAAGGTAACTGCATGGATTTTACTAACAACTCGTCCGCTGGAGGTTTTTCTTTAAAAAGGCCATCGAGTGCCAAATCGTATATTCTTTCCATTGTAATTGTCGTATTGTACACTACACTTAGTCGGATTTATTTGCGATCTTGTGGTAATTTAACCGGCATGTCAGCGAATATATTAATGGCTCGCTATGGACCCACGGTAGCTAGTATATGTGCTGGCGGACACATACTGCTTTCCAATAGCGCTATTAAAAATATCGATCGGACCCACATCGATATGATGGCCTTGGTAGTATACGCATTGTTGGTTATTCAAATTATTGTTGTTACCATTTCTCCATTAATGGTCTTCGTCTTGCCACAGAAAAATAAATCAAGCATTTCTGTGCGTAATACCGATAGCATTATTCCCGAAATATTTAAGAAAATGAAAAGTATGTATCAAGGAGATGATGCAGAACGACGTAGTGATATACCAGTTGTTTATGGCCTAGCTACGATATATTCTTCCGTACTCATATCGTTTGGAACATTTCTTACTATGGTCCTAGTTATCCTTCTGGAGCCTAAATCCTGTTCTGGAATCGTTGTGTGCATAGCCGTGGCAGCTATAATATTGTCCTTACATGCAATCCTGCGTTATAGAACGGCTGTTAACTTTGGTAAGATATTGCAATCAATGAATAATATTTATATTACATATATATGTATTCATATTTAGAAACTTGCCTGCAGCCAACATTTACTGCCATAGTTGGATGGTTTCTATTGGGACATTTCTGCTTCTTTGCCACATCACATCAGACAACACTTTCGCAGATTGACTGGCGAGCGGCATTCGTTGGTCGTTCAACAAATATAGGACAGTCACACTTCATATCTGGAATACTAGTTATTCTCAATACGTTCTGTGGACATATTTTGTTCTCCAGTATGTATGTATTACTGTCCACAGAAACATTTTCGATTTTCGCTTTGTTCCCTACTTTAATAAAAACAAATGCGAATCGAGAAAGAAAGGTGGAAGGCAATAACACTGCGAAATCAACATCCTCAACATATGATCGTTCCTTGAGTGAAATTTCAAACGAATGTGTTGGATTCGATATGACACGTGGCGAGTTGGTTTTGTTCGAAAACGAGAACGTATTCATTGCAACTCTTTTTAAGGTCGCCATTCAGTTGTATATTTTGCAGGGTACTAAGGTAAATAACATTCATCGTTCATTATCTGACAACGATGTACATAGTGTGTGTTTATATAATAATATATAATATTTCTTATTCTTCCAGATATTCTGTGCTATGTTAGCGTGTACTATTCACTGTCGACATCTAATGGTTTGGAAAATATTTGCTCCTCGCTTTATATATGAGAGTATTGCAACATTTGTCTCACTACCAGCGATTATTATCGGATTTTTGCTGATACTTCGCATCCATAAAGGTGTCGAAAGATTGATATCTAAAATCAACAAAGACAAGTAGTTATAGAAGTATTGTATTTATTGAAAGCTACATTTAGATAATTATTTATTACTTGACAAATTATTCAGTGTTTTTGTTTATAAGGATTTTTAGTATTGTTTTCATAGTTCAATACAATTACTTTGTAAAACACGTGTCATTTTAGCATTTAAGACTTTTACTTTGTACAAAATAACCCAATAATTAATTTGATATTTTTTGTTTTAATTGGGTGGCAAATTTTCGTAATAACTATTTTTAGGGCATCCCCATATAACGAAACCTTTCAAGTTTCGGGGAATTAGTTCTTATTTGATATGAGCGGTTTCAGGTATTTGGAATGTCTTCCTCGTGGTAGAGGGTTTCTAACCGAATTAGTTTTTATTTGATATGAGCGGTTTCAGGTGTTTTGAATGTCTTCCTCGTGGTAGAGAGTATAAAAACTTCTGTCCGGCCGAATAAAAGTTATCGAATTTGGAAAAGAGAATTTTTGATCCAAGGTGTTGCATTTGGTTAAAGCACGTTATACATGGCTTCAATATACATATATGGGAAATTACAAAAATCTTTTAAATTCCTTGAAACTGTGGTTTGCAAAGTTATAACTCGCGAAATATGAACATATTGCATATAATTTAAATTCATTTCTATAAAATGATGTGTTCTTGTCAACATTTAAAAATATTGGTAATAAATAATAAGTTGCGTGGAAGCTGTGATGGTGGTAATGTTAAAAAATGGGCGAAAATGTGTTGAAGCCAACGAGTTTTTTGTGTTCCTTTCTGATTTGTGGCTAAACTACACAACGCACACACATGTGATCAGTGCCTAAGTTGCAGAATACGCCATGGGCAATATGATTCTAATGTATGATTTTTCGATATAATCCACCCAAAATGGATGCTGACATTTTGAAGCCGGATTTTCGATGTTTTCTAATTTTTCTTATAATTAGGACGCGCATCCAGGTAACGGACTAAACTAATTATAGGATTGTAGAACTCGTGATTTTGCTTCGTTTAGTGTATATCTCATGAATGTGCTCACCGTAGCTTCTTTGCAATTGGGTTCCAAAGACGAAAATTTGGTGCGTAAATTTTTATGAAAAACATATTTTTGGAGTCTTAAGAAAGTCCATTCAGATTCCTTGGAACCCCGCGTGATTTTTACCTGTCGGATCTAATGAGCCCATACATGTTCAATTCCGCCCAATAAAACGGCGAATATAGGTACCTTGGAAAAGCTTATATTGACAAATTCGCGAATATAATCGCGTTTATCTTCGAATTGATTTCACATACATTCATTCTTGTGTTATCATATTATCGAATCTGTGTGTAAATAGGTCAAAAATATATCGATACGCGAATAATATGCGTATTTTACCCAAAATCGATTGTGGAGGCACATCTGCGGTTCTTAACCGATCCTTTTAAAATAGGTGTCCTTTTGTGTATTTTATTAGGAGATTACTGAAATCGGATGCGCATAAAAATCGTATGCACGTTGCGCTATTTTTAGTCATTTTAGGGTTTTTGCATAGTAAGGTGCATCGAGCGGCACACTTTGGCCGCTTAATGAAACCTCGAAAAATGCATAATTATTGGAAGAGATTGATTCGGTTTATACGAAAACCGCATGCGCATCAACTGATTTCAACTAATACGCGAACTGTACGCTTTTTAATATTCATAATTTTTATATACTGTAACGTGTCATCACGTGTTGTAGAAGATCGTCACGTGTTGTAGAAGATTAGATTTTCAGATATTTTCATGCTTTTATTTGTTTTTCGCGACTATTAAACCGTATTTTAATATCATTTAACTAGTATGCCAAGGAAACAAATGTGTTTAACCATATGTCAAGAAATTCGCGATTTACGACAAATAGAATTTAATTTATATTTGAAATACAAGATTTAAACCCGCTATAACTTTTGTGCGCAGCATCCGAATTTGTGAACGCGAACAGATTTTGAATCAGCATATTTTCCTTAACCTATGTACCAAAAATCATGAATGTGCTCGCAAAAAAAAAAATGTTCAAATTTTAAAGGAATTTTGTAATTTCCCGTATGTATATGTAGGTGGTTAAAGTGCTACAGCAGAGTTTTTCCTAAACTATGTTTATCTGATAGAAAATTGTTGCTTTCGTATTTAATTACGTATTATTTTTTACTTTTTTCCTTCTCAGTTCAATGTTTTTTTTTAAGTGAATCCTTTCTTTCGTTAAACATTTTTTTTGCATTCCAACAATCATTTCAAACATAAATAATGTATTTTATTACATACAAAAAATATTATAAATTTCCGTAAATTCATACCATAATTCATACCAAAATGGCTTAGGGGGACCCCCCCCACCCCATTCTCGGGGTCAAAAATGTTTATGATTTAATTCGAATCTACTCTAATTCAAGAATGTCCCTAAAAAATTTCAAGTGAAAATTAAAAGTAAAAGGGAGGGATATTGGACTACTAAAAAATATTATGCCGAACAAATTACAAAAAAAAAAAAAAAAAAAAATGTTGATTACTAATAATTGGATTATGACTACTCCAGTAGGAATGGGATGGATGTTAATCCACTTCAAAAAAATTGTTATATATAATTATGAATTGTATTCTGTAGGTCGATTCAATAACTTATAACGATCCGACATTCGACAATTTTGTCTACACATAAAATCGTTTGCAGTAACGAAAATGTTATTCTGTAAAAATGTAGACAAATTGTCGATAAACTTTCAAAAAGCTTTTTATTTTGAACATTTTGAAAACAAAATACAAACAAATTTTGAACAAAACAAGGCATGTTCAATATTGAAGAATATTTGTAGATATTGAAGAATATTTTTAGTGTTGTTTATTAACAACATTTTAAACAATTGTTGTTAAAAACTGTTATAGAATAAAAATATTGTTTTTTTAATTCTATAATATTTTATCGATTTGAGAATTGTTTAATTTTGATAGTGAATCGACCCACTGATCTAATTAAATTGTATCACAATTTCAAAAAAATATACATATAATAATGAATTGAATTTGAACTACTCCAAATTTTGAATTTGAACTACTTCCTCCTTTTCCTGAACAATTCCCATCGGATGGTGTCATACAGTGGGTATGATCGAAATTTATTGTTCAATAAAAACTCAGTCGATATCGACTGACATAATTTGTCCCTGCGGCATATTATAGATTGTTCTATTACGACACACAGCTTCTGTATGATCTAAATAAGCTTGTTCATTTCTCAGAACGTTTTCTACTTTGGGATTCCTTTACTTTCTGTATGGTTACTAGAATTTTACATGGTGTTGAGCAGAGTTATCCTCTCCAGTTGTTAAAGTATTTCAAGTCGTCATTTTTGATATTGTGGTTCAGCTACAACGTAAGTTCCCCTTATGGGAAATTATGTTCCAAATGTCGTCCTATTTTTCTCTGTTCTTGGACTACGGACAATGTTTCCTTCGTTACTTGGTGATATGTTAAAATATGATTACACTTTAAAACTTCTGTAAGCGACCAACATTGTCACGAAACTCAAAATCTTAATGTTTTCAATGTAATTACATACTTGTAATGTAAACGTGCTTAGAGCTCATATAGTACAGGTCAATAGTACAGGCACGGCATGACATTTTTTTCACAGTTGTTATTATAGTCTAATTAAATATATATAGGTATATGCGTAATTTAATAAAAATATTTTTTTATACGAAAAAATATTTTTTAGACGAAAAATCTAAACAGAAAACAAAATACTTAATTACCTAATTTTTATAAAAAATACCCAAGAAGAATAAACATATTAATAATAATTTCAAATGATATGGAGTTTTTCTGTATAAATGACAATGTATATGGGCACTGGGAATGATATCATCAGGCGTTTCCAAATCGTAAACTTTGAAACTCAAAATATCATGATTGTCGGACATATCACCTGTTGTTGCCGATAGACCAAAGAAATAACGCGTGGGCAATTCAACATTATTTACAACAAAACAATTTTTCCATTCATTGCGATTTTCCAGATCAGTTGATACCGATAGAATATCGTTTTCGTAACATATCGCCACATGTGTATCGAAATTAAAATTACGGAAGTGAACCTCACATCCAGCCAATTGGGTGTGAGTACCATCACGATCATGATTGTAGCTAATAGTGCCGTTGTTTACCATGGCGCTCAAATAGGGATGTTGATGATTATATGTGTCATTGTGATTACTGTAGGTATCCAAAATAACCGCCAAGCCGGAAAAATGATCTTTACTACCAAAAACCGGTCCCGGTTGCATACGTTCCTTGGTATACCAAATAGCGAAGCCATTACCAAAACGTTCAGTACCCTTGCCATGGACCTTAAATGTTACATGAACTTCCCATTTTTTTGTTAAACATGGCGAATAGTTCCATAGGGCACCGCTCTTCGATTGTAGATCCGGCGTGAGCCGAATGTAATTGCTTGTCATCACTGTGTGACCAAGAAAGTCCCAATTGGCAAGATTCACGCCAACTCCCTGGAATGGTGGAACCAATGAGTGTTCCCTCTTCATGTATTCATTGGTGCTAACAGCACACTCAGACACCAGCACAAATATCAGCGTCGTTTTTATGCATTCCATTAATGACATTTTGTAATCAATAAATGATAGTTGTTAATTAAAGTAATATATAGTTGGTTGGTTATTATTGTTTCTTATCACAAAACAATTAGCTGCACAATATTAATATTTGCATTGGAGAAAATAATAGAAATTTTCTATACAACTTGACAGAAAAAATAAAATAAAGATGACAGATTATACAAATATATGACAGATAAATAGAAACAATCAAAAAATATGTTGTCCCCTAAAAAGAGGACCTCATTTAACTTTTCGCGTATTGTCGTGGATGGGTAGAATGTTTCTTGCTGTGTATTTAAGCTGTTGTAGACGTAGTGTTATCGCCTGATGTAATATTTATTTTTCCTTTTTGAGTATTTCAATTTGATTTTGATTACAGAATAGGTCTACAGTTCTTCTTTTGTTTCTGAAGTTCTAACGAGAGTTTCCATTTTCTAATAACACATGTGATCTATTTGGTTGCGAGTATTACACTCGGTGATGTCAATAATTATTTATCTCCTGTACGGGATTATGGAGCCACAAATGACCAGCTAAAATGTTTTACACAGTTCTATGAGTCGCTCACCTTTACTAAATTATAAGAAATATTTTATTCGTCATACGGTAGGGTCCCTCAGCATAATTTTAGAAAATTTGACTAAACATATAGCCTTATTCTGGATGTCAATTCCACGTGAATTTACTCGTTCTTCCCCTTCGACTTATTCTGAACAACATTTTCTTGTGAATTTTTTCGCATTCTCTCTTTCGCCTTATTCTGAATGAAGTTCGAAAGCGAAAAAATCCGCTTTGGGGAAAAATTAGGTATTCTGGCTTACAGGGAGTAGGAGAATGAGATGAAATTTTGTGCGAAATTTTTCGCTAATAAATTCAAAGGGAGCTGACCACAAAAATATAAGTATTAAATATTTTTAATAAACATATTTACACAATGATAGTAAGCAAATTTTTAACTGGAAAACAACAAATAAAATGCCATTGTCTGATGAGCCGCTTAACAGTGAAAAATCATGAAAGAACAAAAATAAAGCTACACAATATACATATATATAGCTACACAATATACATATATATATCGTGTGCATGATTTGAAGGGAGAAATAAAGAAGTAACAAATCATAATTAAATAAAAAGACGCACAATTATGTAGTGAAATAATAAACTGTGAATTAATTCAATCGTAGATTTCTTCCCATTATTCGTTGTGTTTTTGCTATCATAAAAAATGTTATTTTATTTGTAATCTCTTGTAGTTGTTGCACCAAATTGCATCAAATCAATGAACAGCTGTTTCATATGCCATATTTTTAAACTTTAATTTATTTTCTTTTAATTACAAAGCATTTATACAGCGGATTATTGATATTCCACATTTGTATAGTTATAAAGTTTAAATAACAATAAAAAGTAAACATTTTTAACAAAAAAAAAAAAAAAAAAAAAATCAATAAATAAAATATTAAAAAATATTGCAAAATTAAATTACTATGGGGCAACACACATTGCAACTTAAATTACAATATTGCAACACACATTACAACATAAATTACAATATGGCAACACAAATCTTTTTCCAACCACCATTTTCGAAAATTCGAATCCGCATCTCGCATTTTTTGCGTCTCCCTGTGCATCAGAGATGACCCGTCAGAAACAGTGACGTAAATGACATAAATTTTCGACGTATAATACATACGTCAGAAACGTCGGAAACCCACCCATAACCATTAGGTTTTTGACAAAATACCTATTTCCATTAATGAATTTGGAAATTACGTATGCTTTACTGAAATCCATATCAAATTTCAAAAATTTTTTCTCCAAAAGGTTTAGAATTTTGTATTAGTTCTAGTAAGGAATAGACAGAAATATGTAAAAATAATATATATTCTTGAAAATAACGGTATATGGTAATAATATTCGAATTTTCTACATTTATTACATTTTAGACAGGTATATGACGTTTTCGACGTTTACACCTTTTTGACAGTCGAAACCCTAAAAATTCGTCATACGGACCATCCCTGCTGTGCATTCAGAATAAGGCGAGAATGTGAAAGCGAAAATTTTTTTACATGCGAGATATCTCCCAATAAATATCCAGAATAAGGCTGATATTGTCATATTCAATGACCAGTTGGAAATTGCCTTCATATCACATTTAGATGTTTCCGTTGCTTACTATTTTCTATGTTGTATTTAAAAATGAAAGCAATACATTTTTTGTAAAGAAATGTTTTTGTTTTTTATTTGTATTTATTAATTTTGCTTTAATCTTCGAAACGAAAAATAATAAGTATTATCAATTATCATATTATTAATCATATTAATATTTTTATATTTATGTATGTCTCTACTAATCTTATTTATAGTTATTTCAATAATATAATTATTTTCAAAATTAAAATTTTATATTTTTATTCTGCATGTTTTGCCCTTAATGGATAGTCATTAAATGGAACAGGCCATCCATCCGTTAATGCACAATGTGTATGTTTGAATGTCTTATATGCAGAAAAATAAAGTTACATCAATTATTTTATTTATCGTATTGTATGTAATTGGTTGTTGTTGTTGTTTTGATTGTAAATTGTGGGATGTTTACGATGATTTTGTTTTATTTAACCGTTTGTCTACACAATGAAAAGGGCGGGTGAAAAACGATACAATATTGTATCGTGTCAAAACAAAAACAAAATTAATTGAAGGTTTTTAATATATGTATATGCATATTTAAGATTTGTATATAGAAAAAGCATTACATTTGATTTACAGTTTAAAATGAGAAATGCATTAGGGAAGTTGTCATTGTTTTACATACAACAGTGTAAAATGGGTATAAACTTAGTTTAAAAATATTTGTAATAATAAGTATAATTATAAATGTATAAAATAATACAAACAGTAGATTAGCATTAGTTAATAAATTGTTTCTTTTTTGTTTAGTTTAATAGATATTAATATATACGTGTATATTTATGTTATTTTATTTGTTTTTATTTGTATCAAAATCAGTGTTTTTTAATTTAAATAAAATTCTAAGTATAAAAGAACATCATTCGCTAAAAAACGAAAGTTATTGGTGTTGCTTTGTTGTTGTATATATGAATAGATTATGTATTTGAATGTTTGTATGCGTTGTATATGGGTGCATGCTTGTTGATTTCTACAAATTGTTCAGAAAATATTAATGTATGCATTGGAAATGGGACTGACGAAAGTATGTATTCGTGAATACAAATTATTATTTGTGTGGTGTAAGAGCATCTATAAATATTAAATTAGTTTATATAGAAACAAGAAACAATAAGTTATTATTAAATTTAATAAAATAAAATATGTTGTTTATAAAGCCGTATTCAACTAAATCAAACATATCAGAAATGGGGTGTATTCTTAAATACATAATTGAGTTCAATTTATAATACGATAATATTAATAAAAAATTCTTTATTATTTGTAATTATATATAACACTTTTGATCTGTGATACAAAATCGTTATTGTGTGTGTTATTTTTTGTTTGTTTTGCGAACAAACGAAAAAATTACTTCGTTAAACGCATTTCCTTCGAGTTGTGGAAATACGTCCCTATTTATGTACGTATTTGTTTTTTTCTTTTCTTGTTTATTAAATATTCTATTTATATATATAATGCATCCACATACATGCCAATAGAGGCATCACTCGCTCTATAGAAATTGTTGTTATTGTATTGTTACTAATACTATTATCTTTCCATTACTCTGCTCCATACTGCAGTCTGTCTGTCCATAACGAAGTCTAAATTTCGGAATTACAGTTGTGAAAAATTAATAAATAAACCCCCTGGAGGGTTATCAGTTACGTGCCAAAGCTTACTATCCACGGAAGAATAGAGGAGTACAGAAATAATATCCTCACAATCGTGTTTGTTATACAACAAAGTCTCGTTAGTGGCGGTCTTTCGACAAAGTGTACGTTGGTGATGATACTGTTGTTGTTGTCGCTGTAGTTATTGACGTGGCTGTGGTCCGTGATTTGTTTGATTGTTTGGAAGCGGCATTAAGCATTTATCAGTAAGCTTGGGCTTCTTTGTAGTCACTCTGATCTGATGTGTAGAAATCTTCCAGTTTCCACTGGAGAGTTTCGAAGGTTGGTCGTCTCATTGGGTCCTTGTGCCAGCATTCCAACATTATCTCATAGAGTCTTTGATCGCAGTTTGGCGGTTGTGGCATGCGATATCCGTGTTCAACTTGTGTCAACACTTCGGCATTTGTCATTCCTGGTCGCAAAATGTAAAGAAGGACACAAAATATTAGTTTCCCTCATTAACTACTCATCTAAAAATACTTCTTTTATTTCCGAAGTGTTTTTATTCACTTTTAGTAGATATAGTATTTTTTGTCACTGTAAGTGATTTATAGTATGCCTATATTAGTACACTGTACAATACCAACCTGGATAAGGTATGCGACCGTATGTGACCAATTCTGTTAACAATATACCAAAGCTCCATACATCTGACTTAATAGAGAATTTCGAATAGTTTGCCGCTTCCGGAGCTGTCCATTTAATGGGGAATCTGGCACCGACACGAGCTTCATATTCATCTTCTTTTATAAGTCTGAAAATCAATGAGATGTTTATGAAATCCATTGTGGATATATATATATATATATAAGGCATACCTTGCCAAACCAAAATCAGCAATTTTGACTATGTTGTTATCACCTACTAAAACATTTCTGGCCGCCAAATCTCTGTGAATATAGTTCTGGGACTCCAAGTAAGCCATGCCAGCAGCAATCTGGGCCGCCATGTCTATTAATACAGGCATCTTAAGACTGCGTCCTTTACCTGCAATGGCTGAAGAAATGAAATAAAACTGACTACATTTTACAATGACAATGGAATGTGATGAAATGGTTCAAACATGATTAATTCCCCTTTTCCAAGGTGGATATTATCATACATACAACACGTGATTTGTACATTATGTCACTAGAGCGCAATAAATGTAACGATATTTTGTTCGATATTTATTGGTATTGTTTCCACTAGACTTTGAATTATATAGCCAATTAAGTTATTGCAATGACCTTTTTCCCAAATGATAGGTTGCGAATTGAATTTACACATGTCGGTGATGGCGAAAGTAACTGCAAGAACAGACAAACTGACATTTAGCTGTCACTTACCTTGCAAGTACTCCAACAGAGAACCATGCTTCATAAGTTCAGTTATAATGTAAATGGGCTCCTCAACTGTACACACAGCATACAATTGTATGAGTTTGTTGTGCCGGAGTTTCTTCATGATTTGAGCTTCAGCCAAAAAGTCTTTTGGGTCCATTGTGCCTAGAAGCAGAATGTAATCGGTTAGAAACATAAACAGCATGTACGGCGATTAAACTTACCTGATTTAAGTGTTTTTATGGCCACCGAAGTGGTATTGTTCCATAGACCTTCCCATACTTCACCAAATTGACCGGAACCTAATTTTCGTACGAATTTCAGTGAAGTTCTATCAATTTCCCACTGATCACGAGTACGATGTGACAATCCCTCGGTGACTGGTTTCTCAATCTATACAGGAAAACGAAAAATGAATTACATTATATTTATTACTTATAAAAATTTGATTGAACTCATTACGACAAATATTGCGTGTATCTATTAAAAAAGAAAGTGGGGGTTTTCAAATTATGTGCTTTTTAAAAGATAGCGATATGTTATATTATTTAGAAATGATTAGCGGACATTTTAAAAGTAATGAAATGCAAAACACGACAATTGGTAATACGATCATATTATCATTTGATGATACAAATTTATGTACGAATGGGTGAATCAAGAAATTCATACGATAAGAAAATTAGAATGAAGTTATATACGTTCGGAATCATATCAGTGTATCCGAAGGTATTCTATCATCTATTAGGAACTATAAATTATACTAGTTGCAGGTATCAAACGTTGTTTAAGTCAATTGACATTCTTTAAGTGTTTCTTCAAAACTACGGATTGTGCGGTTTGAAATTACAGAGAAATAAAATAAATTACTACAAATACCCCATCCTTTAAAACATATACATATTTAATATATGAGTAACATGGGTCTAAAATCTTCAAATACTTCAAATTAGATGGCAACTTTTTATGAACATACATCTTAAGGTCGACCTACATTGATTATCTCCGGTAGAAAATATCGGAAATCAGGATGTATAATTACATGGGAGGCGATACCTAAATGTAGATCGATATAGCTAATTTTCGAACGTACATTTTTAGTTTCGTATCTCGTAAATAGGAAAGTTTAATTATATAGGGGCAATGCCTAAATGTGGCCGATATACCACATTTTCGAGCCTGACTTTTAGTTTTATATCTCGATACCTGAAGGTAGTATGAATTTCTTACTTTGGGAAATCCCAACACATGAGACAAATCAGTTAACTATATACATATAAAAAGGGGTTATATTTAGGTAACCGTTACATGGGGTCTCTCGGAAAAAATGGTCCAATATTGATAATTTCCGGTAGGAGGATTTGGTACCTAATTACAACCCAAAATACAGCAATCGTATCTAAACCCCTGAAAACGTAAAATTGTGGATACCGTTATATGGAGCTATGCCGAAACGTGGATTGATATTGTCTTGGAATTTAACCTGCTCGCAAACAAAATACAACTACAGTGGAAAGCGTTTATAACGATATATTGACTATAACGAAAAAATCCAATAGTCCCGAACTTCTGCCCTTTATAACCCACACAAAAGAATATCGCATTGTAAAGACATATATGTTGTAACGACCTATTTTGCAAAATATTCGATTTTTCTTATAAATTTGAACGACAAAAGCTACAAACAAAAATATTTCTCACAAAATACCGAACACAAAGCATGTTTGCAGATAGTGTTATGTTTTATTAACCTACATTATGAGGATTTATTTGACATATATGCAAAGGAATTGACAATTGAAACCCACTCGGTTAACGAAATCCGGTTTAATGTAAACGTACTATTACATTGTTCTATGTAATATGTATATTTTCCATTCCCTCTACGTATTGACACGTACAAACTACAAAAATTAAATTTATTTTATTATTTATATATCACAACCAAATATATGTATATCGCTTATAACGATAAAATTCACTTAACGTCGTTACAAGCGATTTCGTCTGAATATGCTAAATTTCAGCATCCTATCTCAATTCCTTCGAAAGATATCGTGATTACAACAGACGGGCATTGTTAGATCGTTTTAGAATTTTACCCTGATCAAGAGTATATATACTTCATACGGTTGGAAATGATTATTTCGATGTGTTACAAACGGAGTGGTAAAATTAAAATACCCTTCAATTAATATACCTTTCATACTCCATAAAATTAATTTACCATTATTAACGAGATTCTAACGAAGAAATGAAAACAAGAGTAGTGTGAAACATATTGATCTATGAAAACGCAATTAATATTAGAGTATTTAACAAAGGATTGGGAACTGGCTTTAATAATACAGGATGGCAGGATGACATATTTATGAAAATAAACATATGATATTTGCAAACGACTATGGCGCATGGTAGATGACAGCGATACTTGGTATGCATTTGGTGAATTGTAGACTGACTGGCGAAACAAGAAATTAGAATTTACAACAACAATGTGGAGACAAAAATACATATATTACAATCAATCCTACCTCAAAGATACCCGCAAATTGACTGGTCTTTTGTTATAGTTTGTGTAGTTATTGGTTTAGTTGTTGTTTTAGTTTTATAACAATAGTAATAACAACAATAATTATTTTGTTAATAAGAAGTTAATAAAAATGAGAGGTGCAAACAAATGTGTATGCGACTATTTTTCATTTTGTTTGGAATTCGGAGACAAAAACATTCTCAATTTGTTCAGAAAAAAAATTAACACATTCAAAATTTATTTAAAGCCGAATCATTTTTAATGATAAAGAATAGACAAATGATGGGGGTGGGGAAACACATTTGTGACTTGGATTCGGTGGGTAAGAAATTGATGTGGCCTTACCTGTACACACGGCTTGCATAAATTAACGCACAGACCGTCCGAATCCTTGGAATAGTGTTCAACCAATTCTTGAAGTGTTCTGTAAAATAATTAAATATAACATTGAATTATTTGTTAGAAAAAATGTACACCACTTATAGTGTTTTTTTTAAGACATACCTGAATGTTGTGCGCCTTGCTATGAAGAAACCACCTTCGTCCAGCTGTCTGATACGATAGTGTTTCACGGTATCACCATCACGAACTATAGAAATTAAATTAGAAATTAAATTAAAATTAAATTAAGTGATTTGATGATGTGTTTTTTTTGCCCACAGACAACAAAAAACTTTAGAGCTTTAATTTAATACACAGCAAGTAAGTAAGTATATATTTTTTGGATTACATATGTAAAAATATGATAATGGAGGACACATATCAAAAGAAAAATCAAAAAATTACATTTAGCTCAAGATATGCTTTCAATATTTCTTTAACTCTTTGTGCCTCGAATTTTTTCCGTAATCATAGATCACTTTTCTGTTCACAGATTTAATGCAACTATCCTAAATAAATCTGACAACTATCCTAAATAAATTGACTAAAATATGACATCGCTACATCCTTGAATTTGGGAGATAAGAATATTCTTTCTGAAAAATAGAAGTCCAATATCAAGAAAACCAAATGCTAAATCGATGGAAAAATCATTTTAATATATTCCCTATATTTTTTTTTACAAGAATCAAATATTTCTGATAATAATTCTGATAACATAAATTGTACAATTCGAATATGAAGCTATTTAAATATTTTGGACTGTATACACAAACCAGTACCAAACAAAATTTTGCCCTCTTCTCTATATTAAAAAGCTCAAACTTTACCAAAAATTACCATTTTTAAGAATTTTGTTTTGATATGTGTTGTCCATAATCAGGTCTTGACGTATGAAATCTAAAAAATATATATCTACTAGCTACATATTAAATATAAGTTCTAAAACATTTTGTTGCCTGTGGGCAACATTGGACCACAAAGGGTTAATAACAAAGAGGTGTACAAATTTGTGCATGCAGTTCAAATTATTTAACCCTTTTAGCCCCGAATTTTGAATGCAACTAACCTAAATAGGATATAAGCAAATTTTTACGTCACTACATCCTTTCATTCGGGAGATATAGTACATTCTGTTAGAATTGTACGCTTTATAGCAACATGAATATTGGTACGCATTTTGTTTTGTTATCATATTCGTGGTAAATGTGCTACCACGAACATAGTAAAATGAATACAAGTGATCATCACTGGTTATAAGCTGTATGCAAGTATTCGTATTTGGGAAATATTGATAACACTATAAATACCGTTCATTTTTTCTCGTGTTAACTCTTGAAGAATAAAGTAAACTGAATTTCTACTTAAGAAAAACTCATCGTGTTTCAACTTTTCTGGACAAGACGACAACTCTATAGCATATTTCCATTAGGTTATGGGCCCAGAGCGTTCGAAGAAAGTGGCTAATCTTCAATAACGGGTGGCATTAAATTTATCCAGCAAAATGAGTTCGTCGTTGTACCAAATTGAGAAATTGGACGAGAAGAATTATGAGACATGGAGTGTCCATATGAGAAGTGTGCTGATCCATAGCGGGTGTTGGAAATACGTAAGTGGTCAATGTGACAAGGATCCAACCTGGACAGCAGAAAAGATTTTAGAATGGGAGTCTGATGACGAGAAGGCTTTGGCAACCATTACATTGAGTCTGAAGACATCACAATTAAATTACGAAAAAACTGTAAGACCTCCAAAGAAGAGTGGGAAAAAATGAAAGATGTCTATAAGCCCAAAGGACCCTTACAGGAGGTGACTCTGTACAAAAAGCTGCTAAACCTGCATTTTGCGGAATATAAGAGCATGGCCGATTACTTGTATGATTTCACCGAAATAACAGAGAAGCTGATGGACGTTGGTATCGAAATTCAAGAGGAGCTGCTAGTTATCATACTTCTTTCAAGTTTGGAAAAAGAATACGAAAACGTCGTCGTCGCAATTGAAACAAGAGACAAGTTTCCAGATTTGTCCGCTTTAATGGTAAAGCTTTTGGAAGAGTATGAGCGAAGAAATCAAGTTAAAAGTGACGAAGCTACAACAAGCCAACAGGCGTTTGGGGCGATGGCAAGCAAAGCTAAAAGAGACGATGGTAAGTAGCCGAAGTACAGAAGAGAAAATGATGGCAAATGTTTCACGTGTGGTAAGAAAGGGCACTACGCGAATAAATGCAGAATGATAAGTGGAGATCATAAATCATACTCTATGGTTGCGTTGGCAGAAAAAATAGAAGCTGATTTAAATTGCAAGTGGATAATTGACAGTGGAGCCACGTGCCATATGAGCTCAAACCGTAAGTTTTTCACCACATTTGAGAAGTGTGAAGAAATAATTATGATGGCAGATAAGAAATCAATTACGGCCGAAGGAAGAGGAATGGTGACAGTTTATGTAAATGGATTTAAGATACGGTTCAAAGATGTTTTGTATGCTCCGGAATTGAATGGCAATTTTTTATCAATATCTAAATTAATTGAAAATGGCTGCATAGTAAAATTTGATGGTAAAGGGGCAGTTGTGAAGGACGGAGGAAAAGTTGTGCTGAAAGCCAAGAAAGAGACCAATTTGTTTGTATTTGAAGCCATGGAATCTAAAGAAGAATTGTGTGCAGCAGACGCTGATATTAAATTATGGCACCAGAGATATGGTCATCTCAATTACCAAAGTTTGAAAGATCTCTCAGAAAAAGACATGGTGAGTGGTATGAAATTGAATGATTCGTTGGCTGTAGATCCCTGTAAGACATGCATGGTTGGAAAAATTCATGCAAAACCGTTTCCAAAACACGATGAGTGGAAATGTATGGAAGCGCTGGACTTGATATATTCGGACGTGTGCGGGCCGATTGATGTGGAATCCCTTGGTGGTTCGAAATATTTTGTCACGTTTATCGATGATAAGTCTAGAAGAAAATGGAATCATACACCAGCTAACAGTCCGTTATACTCCCCAACAAAATGGCATAGCAGAACGCGCAAATCGAACGATAGTGGAAATGGCAAGGTGCTTATTAATCGATCTGGTTTGAATAAAAGCTTGTGGGCAGAAGCTGTTGCAACGGCAGTTTATATAAGAGATCGCTGCCCGACAAGGACATTGGATGGGATGACACCATATGAGGTATGGAGTGTTCGAAAACCCAAAGTTAACCACCTTAAAGTATTCGGATGTCAGGCTGTGGCGTTAAATAAAAATAGAAAATGCAAGTTTGAAGGGAAAGGTTCTAGCCTTATTATGGTGGGTTACTCTTTATTGGCAAAGGCGTATAGATTGTATGACAGCAGAACGCAAAAAGTTGTGGAACGACGTGATGTCATATTCGATGAAAGTAAAAAACCTGGCGGTGGATTTAATGCTGAAGACAAAGAATTCGTTTCCTTCGAGAATTGTGAGAACAATAAGAAACCAACAGAGAACATAAGAGAGAATTCAGAAGAATATTCGGATGATAATGGAAGCGGCGAAAATCTGCAAGAAATGGAAGGTGAGAACACAATGAATGATGAAACTGGAGACAACCCATCAGATGACGATAGTTTTTATGATACGGAAGAATTGCGAGGGTTTACGCCGATTGAAGAGGAGCAATCGTCAGAGGTTGTTACACCTAGACGCGGTCCTGGAAGGCCACGAATTATTGGAAGCAGAAGACCTGGGCGTGCAAGGAGAGTGCCAAACTCGCTGAATAATGTGGTGGAGGAGAGTATACCGCAAAGTTATGAAGAGGCATTATCCATCAAGTTATGTCATCTATGGAGAGAAGCAATGGAGAAAGAGATGAAGTCGTTAAAAGAAAAGAATACGTGGGTATTACAAGATCTACCTATTGGCCAGAAAGCCATTAAATGTAAATGGGTATACGCATTAAAAAGGAATCAGAAAGGAGAAGTTATTCGTCATAAGGCAAGGCTTGTTGCTAAAGGTTGCAGTCAAAGGTATATGGTCAACTATAAGGAAATATTTTCACCTGTTGTGAGGTATGCTACGATTTGTTGGCGTTGGCAGTGCAACACAAGATGTATCTACATCAAATTGACGTGGTGACGGCATATCTTAACGCAGAACTAACAGATGAAGTGTATATGCAACAACCAGAAGGGTTTATTGATGAATGTAATCCAAATAAAGTGCTAAGCCTACAAAAATCGTTATATAGTCTAAAGCAAGCCGGTGCCATATTGGATTCAAAAGATGTGAAAATGAACAGTGTTTATATATGATGAAAAGAAAGGACACGTTGATTCTGATTGCTGTATACGCTGACGACCTAATTATTGCTTGTAAAGATGAAATGGAAATATTGCGGATTTAATCAATGATTGGAAAGGAATTTGAAATAACGGATAAAGGATTATTGGAACATTTGTTGGGAATTGAAGTAAGCCGAGAAGGTAAAACTGGTGAGATTGAAATTAATCAAGGCATGTACATAAGCGAACTACTAGAAGAGTATGGAATGATGGACTGTAAGACGACATCATTGTCGTTGTCACCTGGATTTCAAACGGCATGTAATGGAAACTGTGAAAGAGTAAATGAAACACGATACCAGTCGCTTAAAGGGGCGCTTATATACCTAGCTGTAACATCGCGCCCAGATATACTTCATTCCGTTTCCAAGTTGTCACAAAGGAACTCAGATCCTCATGTAGAGCATTTTAAAGCAGCGAAGCAGATTTTAAGATATTTGAAAGGAACGCATGATGTTAAATTGAAATTTGGAACTGGTAACGGAAAGCTTATAGGATATGCGGATGCAGATTGGGGTGGCTGTAATACGGATAGGAAATCTTACTCCGGATTTGTGTTTTATCTTGGTGGATCCGTAATATCGTGGGAATCGAAGAAACAATCCACGACAGCAGGGACGTACGCAGGGGGGGGGGGCCGGGGGGCCCGGGCCCCCCCCGAAATGAATTTTTTTCACAGTAAATTTATGTTTGCAACAGCGAATTTTTTCATTTTGTACTACCGGGAACACAAACCCCGTTTACCACAACCGAACAAAACACATAAACATTAAATATAATCACATCCGAGATTTATTCAAGCAAAAGGAAATTAAATTGGAATACTGTCCAACCGAGAATATGGTTGCAGACATTTTTACAAAGAACTTGGCGAAAGTTAAACATATGTATTTTATGAACTTATTGAAAATGAAATAGCTTATTATTTTTCTATGTACAATATCCATGTTGAAGAGGAGTGTTAGAATTGTATGCTTTATAGCAACATGAATATTGGTACGCATTTTGTTTTGCTATCATATTCGTGGTAAATGTGCTACCATGAACATAGTAAAATGAATACAAGTGATCATCACTGGTTATAAGCTGTATGCAAGTATTCGTATTTGAGAAATATTGATAACACTATAAATACCGTTCATTTTTTCTCGTGTTAACTCTTGAAGAATAAAGTAAACTGAATTTCTACTTAAGAAAAACTCATCGTGTTTCAACTTTTCTGGACAAGACGACAACTCTATAGGATATTTCCATTACATTCTTTCTGAAAAATGAAAGTCCAATATCTAGAAAAGCAAATACAATATTGATGAAAAAATAATTTTAAATTATTCTCTTTGTTCTTTTCTAAAATAATCTAAAATACTTCTGAGGGTATAATTCGAATACGAAACGATTTATATGATTTGAACGGAATGCAAAAATTGGTACTGTACACTATATATTGAAAAATAACTTGGACAAACGTTTGAATTTTTTAAAATGTTCTTTTAATATATCGCTCATTTGTTGCAAAACAGGCATAACCCCAAAAAAAAAAAAAAAACGTTTTTGCAGAAAATGCGTTTTTTGTTTTCAATTCATAATTTTAGTTATGCCTGCCAAATGATCGATATGTAATCCAAAAAATATATATTTGCCAGCAGAGTATTAAATAATTTAACCTCTTGAGTGTTAAATCGCTTCGTACTCAAATTGAACGAAGTTACCCTCAAATTTATTTTTTTTATTTTGTAAAAGAGATCCTAAAAATTTTTTGACTTTTTTTTAATATTGGGCTTTTATTTTCAAGAAAGAATGTACTGTATCTCCAGATGTAGTGACGTAAAATTGTCTTCATATCCTCTTTAAGAGAATTGCAATAATCTGTGCATAGAAAATAATTCTATGGGAGGGAAAAAATTTCGCAGCCCCAAGGGTTTATTTGAAACTTTTTTAATAATAATACAATTTTCAATAATGCAGATATTTGCATCAAACTTTAAGTTATTATCTACGTAGATCAATAACCGTGGTACATTTGTACTATCCAAATATAGCGCTGTAACTCATTAAATATGTGACTATCATGTGGTAAAACAATCATAGTCATTTCGTTATAGTTTTTTTACTTATTTTTCATGGGGATCTTATGCCATGTACAGACGGGCGTCGTTCGCTTTCTCATTTGTTGTTCGACCCTTAATTATGAAGTAATTAGTTCCCCATACAAAATTGTCTGAGCGAACACCGACTTTTTTACGTTGTTCAGTTTGAATCACTCTCCGAATAACCAAGAAATTTGTCCCATCCCTAACAATTGAGAGAATTTATCGAAAATAAATTAATTTTGACAGCATGAAAATATTTGTAAAATTTTCAAACTTTTTCAGTAAAATTGAAAATGATGAATGAAAAGTAAAAAATTGTCTAGTTTTTATATATGCAGAAGGAAGTAAATTTTGTAATCTACATAATGCAATATATATGTATTTCTTTCCCTTTGGTTCTAATTAGCGTACAAAACAAGAAACCAATGTGGGGAAACCCAAACAAAAAATTCTCCAATTTTTTCATGTGACATTTGAATTGAGAACAAGAAGAAACAAGAAATAAAAAGTTTGAAATAAAAAACTCTGATGACATGAATTAAGAATAGTGTTGTATGAACGGGTTAATTCATGTACGTAATTCTGAGAGCGAACTACGTTGTTCAAATGCCCGTCAGAACATGGCATTAGGTGTTCTCCAATTGCAACTCTGAATTGACTTATATATAAACTAACATTAAGTAACGTTTGAAAGTATTAATGAATGTTAAAAATGAGATAATCATTATCTCTAAACTTTATTAAATGGGAATAATTGACAATAATCATGGTTTTAGTCGGTGTATACCAAAGGAAAATCCAATGGGTTGCTGACTTCTACAAGTCGCCCTGATGGTTCTAGGGTTATAAAACTTTGCAGAGGAAAATTAGATACATACATGGTATAATTATTACAAGGTAGGGCACAGCTACCAACTGATTACAATTTTTTCTCAAGGTGGCTTGTTCCATCAAATCAAAATACATATGTTGTGTATGTGTGTATTGTTTTGAATGCTAAGTCAGATTCAAAATATAATGAAAAATATATAAAAAATTTAATTGAAATGGAAATGATATTTTTAGCACGTCCTTCTGAACGTAATTACTTTGTTATGAATGAAACAGCTATGGGTTTACAAAATTCAAATAATCGCAATCACTTGTTGCGTATATTTATTTTATATTTAGGCAGAAGAAGCCACCACCTACATAGTTGATTTTTTATTATTCAACTCAAGCTGTTCTACCTTGTATTATTGTACCATGGATCCATATAAAAATAATTAAAAAACTTAACCCAAACAAAATTAAAACGAAATAACTACGATTGTTTTAGATAGATGATCATTTAGACATGAATTTTAATATATATTCCTTTAACGAATACATAATTTTGAATTCCTACATCTAGCTCAGATCCGTACAGACTGATTTAAAAAAATATCCGCATGATAATAGCATTTTCAAATGAGTTACAGCGCTATATTTGGATGGGTACAAATGTACCATGGTTATTGGAGTTAATTAAAATTGGCCAAATAGGGTGTGATCTATTTCATAGATCTTTATGTAATAATCTATAGGTTAGACAAAATCGATAAAATTAATATTATATACATATAGGATTCACAGTAATTAGTAATGCCTCCTCCTATATAGTGAACATTAAATGTTACATAAAGTGACTGCATATAATATTTCAACAGTGAAGATGTTTCGCTGATGGTCATTTACCAGCAAGCCATTCACTGCCTGTGTGTGCATGAACTGCCGTGGTACGTGCTGACTGTCGACATCGGTGATTACGTTCAAATTGCAACTTACCTGATAGCGAATAGTCATTATGACGACTCTCAGAGTCTCTAATTAAAAATGCTCCATGCTCATTTTCTGGCAGTAATAATTTCTTCTCAGCCTCAATGCGTTTGATTTTACGGAAGTACCAGCTGGAAATATGAAAATAAATAAAGATGATTTATGATGATAGTACGGTTAAATGGAGTAAATCAAATAATGTACATAGATTGATAATAAAATCTAATTAACTGTCAATAATAAGGCCACGAAATGCTTACACTCGAAATAAGTAGAATACCGTAAGAGCATTTTGTTTCGCTTAAAAAGATGTTAAGTTCGTCCGACCGAAAACTTCATATCTTTCGAAATATTATGGCAAACTTTTTGGACTTTAGTAAATTTTCGATATTTACAGTGTGCCAAGAATGACTTTAAACAAGGATAATTATTAAATATTTTCAAATGTAGAAGCTCGAAGTAGCAAAAATTACAATTTGTGTTATTTCGATATTTGATATTTGTCATAATTGAATGCTGCACTTGATACAGATTTAGTCAACCAAATTAACATTTAGTTCAAAATAAAAGTAATGTACAAGAAAAACAAATATGGCCCAGTTTCACCAGTGTCAAATAACTCTTTACACATCTCTTGCAGTTTTATTATGGTATGTACTGTATGAAGATAACGATAGTTTTTGTGTGTTCTACTCTTTTTTGCTTTCTATTTAGAATCATTTGATAAAAAAAATCGTAAGCGTGCGCAACATACCCTCGAATAAATTTATAAAAATTCCAGCCAAAACGTTATCCCATGATGTAATTCTGGAGATGTATTACAACCATCAGTTGAGAAAATTATGATCGAATTGTCGACAATGTTTTCAGTCACAACGAAAGACAATTTACCATCCATTAACTCAAGCATAATTATTAGAGAACTATGCAAAAACTCCCAAATTTCCAAAAGGGCGCACAACAATGTTAAGAACTTTCGATTCATCAGGGACAACAAGCCATAGTATAAATTTGATCAGGGTAAAGATCCTATGCATAAGTCACATATAGTTTGGATGTAGCCCAAAGTCCCGACCCTATAGAACATTGTAAGTCTATTTAAAAAAGTGTCTAAACGGCAACCAACAAATAAAAATGCATTAAAACTGCAATATTGATGAACAATTATGACTTGCATGAACAATTATGACTTGCATGAACAATTATGACTTGATTAGAAAACGTATACAATGTGTGTTAGATTCAAAGGGCGTCCAATATTAAATTTATGAAAATGGGTGTTTGGGATATTATATAACAATGATAAAATTTAATATTCTTTGATTTTGTTATACATTGTTTTAAAATTGAAACATTTATCTCTGCAAATATGCATACAATTATAAAAAATCGAAAAGCAACTTTAATAAAGAAACATTTGTTTATGAAAAAAAATCATTTATTCAATGTGTGAACTCATTCTTGGCATTCTGTACATTAAGTGATAATCACTATATCCCGAATTTCCGGTTTCAAAATAACAGCATTCGTTTTTTAATGTATGCAGTGGATTGATATCGAAAACCCATGCTCAAGAACCCTATGGCAAATAAATTGTTCTTCAGTTCAGTCTTCGCTGGTTTAGACAGCAATTAGGAAAGGACAGAAACAAACTTGTTGACTTCAAATGCAATTTTAGTCAAAAAATCTACAAATTATAAACAGTGAATAACAAAAACTAAAACAATTCGTTTTATAAAAATATATTTATCTTATATGGGAGTTCTAAAACACCTCATCTCTGTGGGAATTCAATTAATGTCTTATGATGGTCACATATGAATGGATAAAATCGACTATTAACAAACATGTCATGCTACATACAGATCTAAACACTTTTTCTGCGTATATGCGTGGAAACTAATCGAACTTAATTACAAATCCACGATTCTGACCGACAATATCTATTCCTTTTCACGATTGCAGAGGTGTGCATGTGTGTGAGTATGTGAAATTGTAAATAGTAAAAATAAAAAATAAATGAAAGTACGGAAGCTGTAAAGTGCCCGTGCAGTGACGACCTTAGGTGTTTGAACAAGAATTTATCACCTCAATCAAAGACTCGAACAGTTTTACTCCAAGGCTAACAACAATTTGGAGGGTTCAACATGATATACAAATAAAATTGTACAAATATTTTCAAATCTACTCTCAAAGTAGAATTAAGACCCACATTGTCAAACATTTCAATGGAAATTCCACAACTGAGCGATAAATTGAAGAGTGACAACCACATCGATGATGACTCAAAAATTTTGTTTGTTCGAAAAAAAATAATTTTTAATAAAATAATAGTTTTTTTTTGTTTATCTTTTGTTAGAACTTTAAATAGTAGTGACGCAAATAGGAAAAATAATATACACAATAAAATTCCCTAAAATTGAAAATCGCATTGAAACATAATTTGGGGAGCAATAGCTTTACTCTTTTCCTACAACAGTCTCCGATTTTCGGAGCAATCAAACAATGTTTTTTTGTATTCATCTAAAAAATATTGTATATTTTTCACGTGAAACGATGGCGCTTTATACAATTCACAATTCCGCAAGATATTTCCATTTGCCTTTAATTGGTTACTTCGAAATGGCGCAAAGCATCATATGACGCCCAAATACAATTGCAACATTCTAGATGATTTTTCAACCTTTCCTTGGCGATATTAGTTCAATAATTATCTTCCAAGAAACACCACAGTGATTAGTAAACAGTAGATTAGTTAAAAAGTACGTAATTGCCAAATCGAGTCAATATTACGTCTTAAACAAAATATCTATTTTTGCTTGGATATCCAGCGATTACCCACTAGACAGGGCCCAATCAATCGCCCAGCAATGAGCTTTTGATCAGTTTAATCTTTAGCTGAGATACGGCCAACAATTAAGTACATGCATACGTAAGTAAATAATTTGCTAAAGCTTAAAATGAACGTGACAATAAATACGAATTTTTATTCTATTACCTCACTTGGTGCTATTACAACAATATATTTATTTTCGATAATCTGTCAAAAATATTATTTTAGAAAATTCCATTTGGTAATTGATATTTGTAAAGAATACTGCATGCAATGCAATAATGGACGTTGAAAGCTCACGATGATAAATCGAAATTGAAGTTGAATATTTGTTAATTGATAAAACGTATTCATATTATAATTGATTTGTCAATTCAATTGATTATTTTTAAGAATGACTATCCCATTAGGGTAGACTTATATATATACATATGAATATATAAATATGTATTATTTTTCACAAATTAACTGATGCCAATTAGAGAGTTGAATTATTTGTTGGTGTGGAAAACAGTTTTACAAATACCTCCACAAACCATATCTAAAATACAAAAATAGGAGGAGACGAGAAATTATTTGGAAATATTAAAAATACTTTGATTTTAATTCTGAGTGTTAATTGCACATTAAGTCAGACATATATTGTTGAGTACTATCCGCAGTCTATCTATACTGGCAATTTTAACGGGCGGTTTGTTATATATATATATATATATATATCAAAGTACAACCAATTAGGAGAATAAATGTGGTTCACAGATTCATAAAGTTTTAAATCGGGTAATCTTATGTGCAAGGTTATAACAATAACCGATATTCAACAATCTGTGCTAAGTTATGTCTTAAAAATCCATGTGATTATAACAGTCGATTTAGATTTTAAACGAATCGATTTAGAATTTTAAACTGATCTAGAATATATGTATGTACATTTCTTTTTCTTCAATTATTTAAAATTTTAAAATGATATGTCGATTTAGTCATGTACCAGACAGACGGACGGATAGAGATCGCAATATTTATATATTTTTTTGCACTGGCATTGATATTACTTAAAGGATGTATGGTATTGCAATTGGGCCACATCGGTACAATTTTTGGTATTGCTCCCATATAATGGTACCGTCCAATTTTCCGTATTTTGTAGGTTTTTGCCGCATTTTCCAACCGAAAAGGCTCTAATATGCCATTTCGGGATTTGCAAATCTGGCAAACATCCGCAAAAAAAATATTATTATAGGTTCATGTTATGTCATAGCCCCCATATAAAGGTCCGGGCCAATTTTCAGTAATTCGAGGGTCTTTGCGCCTAGCCCCATAAGAAGGCCGTGGCAAATTTTCGGTTTTTTATGCATTTTCCACATGAAAAGTTTCTAATATGTCATTTCGGCTTCTTAATAGAAAAAATACTTCTACCTAGAGCAATGTTTGCAAACGCATACAAAGGTCCAAATTTATTTTTGCTATGTTAAAGTTCCTAGCGTAATGTTTCATCCTTAGCGCCTTGTCTGCCATAATACAATATATTTAGCCGATAATTTACCATTAAATTGAGTCCATATAAAGGTGGCGATTAAAAAAATTGAATGTACATCACATGATGGAGAATATAAAACGTTTGGCCGGGCCAAACTAAAGTATGTTTTTACTAGTTTTAGAAACTGACAGTTATTGCTTCTTTCTCGGTATATACGCGGATATATTTTGGAAAAAACACTTTCTTACTGGAATAATGTATTGTATACTGCATATGAACAAAAAATAGAACCACATTTAACTAATTCACAGCAATATAGGTAGTGTATAACTTTATTCGTAGCAATTGAAGGAAATTTGTCGTTGAATTCTTTATTCATGGTACGTGGTGTTTGAGATGTCGCCGCTGTATATATTATATATATACATAAAGTTGAACTTCCTAATGAAAAACGATGTTCCAGACCAACAAGATACAAAATGTGTACATATGTATTTGTTTTAATTTTAATCCACATTCAATACGCATAACATGATATTTATACGTTTTTCTACCAAAATTTGTTTGGCTTTTGTTTTTTTTTTAGCCGAACTACGAACCTCGTATTTTTTTAAACCAAATTTCGTACCTCGGTATGCGAAGGTGTTTATGTCAATCACACCAACAGCTGTGTATCATTCGTCAATGAAAATGGCGCTTGAACGATTTGTCATGATATTGATAACAATTGAACAAAGTTTATTGACGATATTGGCGGCTATGCATGCCGAATTTATCGTTTGATCAACAGATTGTCGCGGCGTACAAGCATTTACGCTAAT